TGGCCCATGTGGGATCTGAACCAGGGCCCTGCTGCTCAGATCTGGCATCCCAAGCCATCTCCTAACCAATGCGCTATTCAGCTGGCCCCACATAGAAATTCTTAAATCTAGCGTTTTCTCAATTAAAGAGTCATGGATCAGAGATTTCTCTACTTAGGGTTATTAAAGATTTTAAAACATCATTCTTGACACTTTTGCATAATACTCATGGATCTTCATGGGTCAACTTGTAAATGTCAGATCATTTTTGGCCAATCGGTACACTCATATTTTTTGGCCAGTTTAAAAAAATGATACCACAGGTGTTACACAATTTAAACCTGAAATTTTTGTATCTTTTGAAATCTGCTTTAAAAAACTCATGTTGTTGCTGTGCAATTTCCCAAGTTACCTTTTAGCATTCTTTGATTCTAAACTCATTCTGTGTTTTTTGTATTGATTGGGTAGTATATCCAGTAATAACCCTGGAGCCCCTCTTATGTGTCAGGCATTGGGGTAAACATTTCAGTCTTGTGTATAAATGTGAGGTAGATACTACTGTTAGCCTCGTATGAGGACACTGGGCCTGGAAGGGTTAAGTCACTGATCCCAGGTTACACAGCAAGTAAGCAGGGAGAGGTAGGTTCTAAAGCCAATTCTCCAGCTGTTCCCTCTCATGACCTTACCTATTACACTGGGCCAGGATGGCATATGCCATTCCTTCATTTAACCAACAGGAGTACCTGCCCTCAGCCAGGCATGGTGCTGGGCTTGGGGGATGGAGAGAGAAAGAGATACAGGCACAGACCCTGTCACCCAGGTGCTCCTGTGCTAATTCTATGTGGAGGGGCCCAGTAAAGTTGTTGTCTGTTTTCCAGGAAAATACCAAGCCCGGATTCTTTCCGAGAGCCTTCTCACCCCAGCGGAGTACCAGAAAGAAGTCAACTATGAGCTGGTTACGGGGAAAGTGGACTCCTTGGGGGCCTTTTTTAGCACCCTCTGTCCAGGTAGGCTTGGTCCAAGTAGTGATACAGGTACAAGTTTATAAATGGATAAGACAGAAACAAAGACACAAAGGGGGAGGTCATCTCGGGGCCCATCACCCCGTGCTCTGCTGAGGCTGGCCTCGATTTAGAGGTGCAGGGTGGCCCCTCCTTTCTGTGTACCAGCATGTGCAGCCTTGGCTGGTGTGGTCTCGCCTGGCTGCCATCTTCCTGCAGTGGCTGTGGGCTGTCCTAGGTGGGGGCGTTGTGTTTCCTCTTTCTTAGGGACACAGGAGGGCCTTGTGCCTGCTTCCCTCTGCCCCTCAGGCCATGTCCACCACCACTCCTACCTCCCCCTCTGAATTGCGTGAAGCTCCTCACTGGAGCAGTGTGTTCCATTTCATGGGGTCCGTGCTGTGCGCGCCCTTCTCCCTTTTTTGCCTGGCTCATCCATTTCCCCCCAGAAGCCTTTGCCAGCCCCCCCTCCAGGATGGGTTTGGACTCCGTCCCTCTGTACGTTAGCATCCTGTTCTTCTCCTAGCACTTACTGGGTCACAGTGTAATTTCATTAGTAGGCTGTGGACTTCTCCACAGGACGGACCATGCCACCTTTACCTCCATTACCCAGGCCCAGGACAGTGCCTCATCCATAGTAGGTGCTCCATAGATGGTTGCTGCATTCCACAAGAAGGAAAACCCATTTCTGTTATTCTCTCTGTTTTGGGCAGAGGGCGACATTGACATTTTGCTGGACAAATTTCATCAGGAAAATCAAGGCCACATTTCTTCCTCACTTACTGCCTCCTCTGTCACCAAATCAGCGTCCCTGGATGTGGGCGGGGCCCCGACATGCACAAGTGAGTGGTGAGAGGGTGGTCAGGGTCCCAGCTGGTGAGGCAGTGTCCGGGGACCCCCGGGGCTACAAGGAAGCAATGTCAGAAGCACACTCAGAAGCAGGGCTTCTCCTCAGCGTCAAATTAGACCTAATATCTAATTTTAATTTTAGTCCTTAGTGATAAAGATCATTTACCCTGATGATGGCGCATTTTCTCAGTGTTGATTTCCAGCCTATCAGCGCATTGTTGAAATGTTTTATTCACACCAAGTTTCTGAAGAGCTGTGACATCTTGTCTCCCAGAGAACTTGCAGCCTCTTTCAAATTCCAAAGTCAGTGTCAGCTTCCCTGGAGTGCTGTCCTTGTCCCCTTCGGGTAGAGGAGGTCATTGCCTCTGTGCTCTCCGAATCCTTTTGTTATTAGATCAGGACAGGTGTGTGAGATAGCTATCATGGTCCACAGCCCAGGCAGGCACTCCATACATGCTGGTGTGTTTTCCCTTCCCTGCCACTTGTGTGCTAGACGGGGGCCCACTGTTTGATTCCCGAGCAGAGGTCCAGGATTGTGGCATTCTACTCTGGGGGGCACCTCACCTTTTCGGGGACTCTGGTTCCAGGTTACAGCCTGGAGCCCCACCACATCCGGCCCTTCCAGCTGGCCGTGGCCCAGAAGCTCCTGTCCCACGTGTGCTCAATCGCGGATTCCAGTACCCAGAATCTGGACTTGGGATCTTTCGAGAAGGTGGACTTTCTGATTTGCATTCCACCCTCGGAAGTGACCTACCAGCAGACCCTGTTCCACGTCTGGCATTCAGGTACGAGGCATTTTGGGATGTCTGCATGGGGAATGCTTTCATCCACTTACATTCAGATTGGGATTTAAACACCAGTCTTTGCTTCTAAAGTGATAGGGCAAGAATTGTCACCCCCATTTTGTAGATTATGAACATGATGCTGAGAGGTAGGGACTTGTCCAGGATTTTCTAATCCGTTACAGGTAGACTTGGATTTTCACTCTGTCCTACTCAGGTCAGCGACCCATACATTGATGTCCAGCTTACCATGTTTTCCCTGTGCTTTCAAGAGGATTAAATATAAAGTACGCAGAGAGTCAGTGTCTTAAAAGAGGATTCAGTCTAGAGTGGTATAGCCTATGGCTCGGGGACATTCAGGCTGGGAGATGATTTTGCCCGGGGTGGAGGGTGGAGGGTAGGACCTTCCCTTCCCTTCATGGCAGTCACCATGCCTGGGATTAGCTGTGTCCCCTGGGTGGGCTGCTGTGCACACACAAGCTGGCAGCAGGCCTGTCACTGTGCCCAGCTCCTGAAGGTTGGACCACAGGCATTTGCATAGGAGCCCACCTCCCGACTCACCCATGTCTTGTGCATCCCTGTAGCCTCGGGGCCTCGCACAGGCCGGCAGTGTAAGTGACAATCGATCATCAGGTGTCTGCTGAGTGACCGAGACCTGTGACAGCATTTATGACAAAGTTACTGATGTGTTGTTACTGTATTGCAGGCGTCTTGCTGGAGCTCGGCTTGGAAAAGGAGCACGTGACCAAGCAGAGGGTGGAACAGTATGTCCTGAAGCTAGATGCCGAGGCACAGGAAAAATTTAAGTCCTTTCTGCAAAACTCCTTTCAGAATCCACACACGCTCTTTGTCCTAATCCATGACCACGCCCACTGGGATCTTGTGAGGTTAGAGCGACTTTGGCACATGGCAGGGTCGACATGTTCCTTCTTTGACATAATGTATGCGGGTGATACTTGGGACTGTGGGCACGGCCTTAAAAAGATGAGTGCCATGGGGTTAGGCGTCTGTAACCAGATGCCACGGATCTATTTCAGAACCTCGGAGGTGGACGTTATCTCAGGGGACCATCTAGTGCATCCTCTGAGAGGAGCCATTATGGGAACTAAGGCTAGAGAAATGGAGCCTCTCGCCCAGCGTCGTAGGGCTGGGGTGGGGTGTTAGAAGCAGAGTAGTAGGGCGTCACGCTGGTGCAGGAAGGGGCCCTGCCAGGAGTAGCTCGGCCCATGCCCCTTGCTGATGGAGGCCCCGTTGGCTCTGGTACCACAGGTCGAAGCTGGGGCTGCCCTGCTTCAGGGTTGATTTCACTTACTCAATTCAAGTGACCATAAATCAAGATGAATCTCAGACAGTGTCAAGTGTGGAGTGTGGCAGGACTCCCAGTCGTTTAGGAGGGACGGGCCTTGGAGGTGTGCACTTAGACACTGCCACTGAGGTGGCCGAGGAGGGAAGGATGCCATGGGTCACCTCATGGAGGAAGGCTTTGATTTAGCACAGACGCAGAAGCTTAGGGCCGGCGGAGCCTTGAAGATGACCTAGATAAAGGGTTTACCATCTAGGGTCCATGTATGGGCTTGGGGGAATTTAAACATCCTGAATTACATAAAAAGCCCTTTGGTGAATATTTATTTTGGGGGTAGGTTTCTCAGAGTAGCTACCTGCCGCCCAAAAAAGGTGAAGCACTCATTTTTCTTATTCCCCTAGATTTGCAGCCGAGGATGCTGAGGCCATTGTCCCGTAGAGATAAGCTGAGCAGTACTTGTCTCCCGGGCCCCTTGTCCGAAGTGCTTTCAGTTTTGTTCCTATACTTTTAAGCTTAGTATAGAATTTCCTGTTTTATGTCTTCTTTGGTTCATTCCAAAGTCAGTAGGACTTTAGAGAAAAGAATTTAAGGACACAGGCAACAATGAGATTGGGCCAAGGGAGAAAAGGCCACTCACTGAACTCTCCTGGGTGAGGTCTGTTCAAGGGGAGAGATGGGCTACGGATCCCGTAGGCAACCATCAATCAATCAATCAATGCTGAGCCCCAGACGAGTTTTTAATCAGTTACGAGTATCAGGGGAGGCCCTGACAGGCACCTGCAGTGCAGTCCTTTCAGTTTTCTTTCTTTTACTTTCCTAGTCATGGGCAGATCCATAAGCTTCGAGTGTTGGCAATGTTGGGGGTGGGGGACTAGTTATAAATGTATTCAACTGCTTGATCCTTGTAAAATTACAGATCAGTGTTAGTCACCCCACTTACTGTGACTTCTCCCCCTTGTTTTCCCTCAGTAGTGCTGTTCATAATCTCTATTCCCAAAGTGACCCATCTGTGGGACTGGTGGACAGACTGCTCAACTGCAGGGAGGTGAAGGAGGCCCCCAACATCGTGACGCTGCACGTGACTTCCTTCCCTTACGCGCTGCAGACGCAGCACACCCTCATCAGCCCTTACAACGAGATCCACTGGCCTGCCTCCTACAATAATGTGAGTGAGTGCCGCTGGGCTGCTGCGCCTGGTGTGGCTGTGACCTTGGAGTCGGGAGGAATCCTGTTTAGTACAGATCTTGATTAACTAGCATAGATGGGGGCCAAGTGGGTCCCAGCTCTTTGGATCTTTAATTTGACTTAGATCTTGACCCTTCTTGGTCTTTAGAAACATTCCCGAAATACATCAGTGGTCTTCCCCAATCTTGGAGCAGCAAAGGTTTTGTCTAAAAGCCTTAGAATTGTTCCCGTTTTTCCTATCCCTGCATCCTTAAGTAGCAAGTTTCAAAATCTCCTTCCTCAAACTGAACTCACACCTACAAAACCTGGTGAGGGTTTAATTCATCACCTGTCGTTTTCTCATCAAAATAGATCACAACAGTTCTTGTGGTTTGAAAACTCTGGGTGGCTGGATTCTAGTTAATGACACAAATAACTAGAAAACATCAATGTCTGGGCTTCTTTGGAGTGCCTCAGAGTCATCTGAAGAACCTTTAAAAACACCAATTCTGGGCTGGCCAAGTGGCTCAGTTGGTTAAGAGTTAGCTTAAGAGCACGAGTTCTGAGCAACAGGACCGCTGGTTCGATTCCCACATGGGCCACTGATGCTGCGCTTGAGCTGAGCTGCCGTTGAGCTGCCAACAGGTGGCATGTGCTCCTAACAATAAGACAACCTGTTCGATGGTGGGCTACGCCTGCCTGCAACTAAGACTAAACTCAGCACCTTGAGCTGAGCTGCCACCTAGATGGCTCAGTGGATAGAACATGTGCCCTTAACAACAAGGCTGCCGGTTCGACTCCTGCATGGGATGGTGGGTTTACCTACCTACAGCTTAGACTGAACTTGGCACCTTGAGCTGAGCCGCCGCCCAGATGGTTCAGTGGATAGAGCGTGCACTCTTTACAACAAGGCTGCTGGTTAGACTCCCTCACGGGATGGTGGCTACGCCCACCCGCAACTAAGATTGAACACAGCACCTTGAGCTTAGAGGCCATGAGCTGCTGACAGGCAGCCAGATGGCGACTGGTGCCCTCCACACCTAAGATTGAAGAACAACAACTTGGCTGGCCCCTTCCCCAATTCCCCAACACTGATCCCCTCCCCCAATTCCCAAATTAAAAAAAAACACCAAAAAACAAAAACACCGATGCTTCGCTCCACTCCAGGAAATTTAGAATGAGTGGCAGTAGTAACACTTGTTTATGGAGTACTAACCGTGAGCAGGGCTGGCACTGTCCTAAGTGCGTTAGCATTATGAACTCATATAAGAGGGAGGTGCTAGGATCAGAGATTCTACAAATGGGGAAAATGAGGCAGATGGAGGCGGAACCACTGCCTAAAGCCATGTGGCTGAAAAGGGGTAGAACCAGGATATGACCCAATCCAGTGTGCTCCAGGGCCCCCACACTTGACCTCTGTGCTATTTGAGGGCGAAGTTCATGTGTTTGTAATTTTAACAGCTCCCCCAACTTGGCTGTGCTCTGAAGTGTGAGAAGCTCTGATGTTAGTTTGGGAGGAATTTTATGTCAATGTGAGTAAAATTGGTTAGATAAATGCATTTTTTTTCCTGTTGATTTTAATAGTAGCTGATTGCAAGATAGTTGATTTTCCTATTCCTAAAGCCAGCTTGAAATGGTTGGAAAGAAGCAGTTTTAACAAAGACAGTTGTATGTTAAAAAAAAAAGATAAGGCTGGTTTTCTCCTTGGGGAACACAATGGGGTCAAATGAATGGGAAAGTCTTGACTGACAGGAATGAACCATCCTTTAGTTTGGAGTGCTCTGTGCTCTGGGCCTGCAAGAGGAAAGAAATTAATCAAATGTCATCCAAGTGACCGCAGAGTCAACACAATTTAGATCAAGAGGCCTGTCCAGGTCGTCTGTGCGCCCAGCATGGGACGCTCTCAATCCCCCACAATGCGACGTTTGAGTGACCGGTGCTCTTCTGTTTTAGGGAGCGGACTTATATCATGAGAACAAGAAGTACTTTGGGCTGTCAGAGTTCATTGAGTCCACCCTTTCAGGACACAGCCTCCCCTTGTTAAGATATGACAGCTCCTTCGAGGCCATGGTCACAGCATTGGGAAAAAGGTACATGTCTGTCTTTGAAGTTATTAAAAGCGCTCAGTCGTCAAGTGCAAGTTGAGGTGTGTGCAGCCCGCAAATTCCAGGAAGCCCTCCACCTCCCTCCCTTCCTGGGACTCAGCTCCTCTAGTAAAGGGACCCTGGCTTATTTCTTGCCCTGCCTTTTGGGCCAGTGATCTCTCTCTCATGCTGTTGCGCCAGAAAATTTTAGAGATGAGAATGGGTAGAAATATGCTGGAATGTGGAACTGCGTGTTTAAGACTCAAGGGAGGGCAACGAAATGGGAGGTAAGGTACGTAAAAAGGTCTAAAGCAGGGTCGGCAAACCGCAGCTCGCGAGCCACATGCGGCTCTTTGGGTACGTACATGTGGCTCTGAAGTAAAATTGAAAATGAAAATAAAACTATCATAGTTTCATTTATAAAATTTTTAAAGGATATTATTCACATAATGGTGATTTCATTTGTTGTATGGCTCTCGAATAATTTTTAAATTGTTGTGAGAGACAGGATTGGCTCTTCCATCTCAGAAGTTTGCCGACCCCTGGTCTAAAGGAAGCGATAGTGACAACCCAGGTTGGCTTCATTTTTTATTTACTTTGCGCATCATGTATCGAGTGCTCATTTTGTGGCGTTCACGGTTCCAAGAGCCTTACTTTCATGATCTTATTTATTCTTTCGTTTTCACCATCTCTTGGAACCAGTTGCTAATTATTCTCCCCATTTTGCAAATCAAGTGAGGTTTGGAGAGACCCCATGACTTTCCCAGGCCACACGTTTCACAAGTGACAGACCGGGGTGTGAATGCAGTTGGTCTGACTCGACAGCTTTCACCTTGTCATAGCACACCTGTGAGGTAGATATTAACGCTGCCATTTTACAGGTGAGAAAACTGAGGCCCAGGGAGGTCAGAGGATTCCCGACATCACACAGTCTGTATGCTATAAAGCCAGGCCAAGTTTTACAGACTGTCTAATGCAAGACAAGACTGGGCTCTGCCACTCATCGTGAGTGTCAAGCTGACTCTGCCACCTCCCCTTATGGCACGCCATTATTCTCCCTTGCCAACAAAGGGATTAAATTAGACATGCGCTTCTCAAACTGTGTTCCAAAGTATGCTGCTTCGGCTGGGTACTGATAGCTGTTTGCCAAAAGGGGTTCCATGGTCAAACGTCTTTGAGAAACTTTATGTTTAACAAAAAGATTTCTTTTCCATGAGAGTTCTCATAGCTTTCCATGTGCCACACAGGCTGTAAATCTCAAGGAGATGGTTAAGAGTATTCAGTGTCTCCAGTCTCTCATGGGACACGTGCTCCCCAGCACACTCTTTGAGGAACTAAATCCCTTTGATACCTTTCAGCCCTTTGATTCTGATGGAGGTTAATCAGTCCCCTTCTCCAGCTCACGGATTGGGCGCGGAGCTCTCGCAAACGTGCTGAGGGAAGAAGCCCCCTAAGAGTTGACACGGCGCCCACGAGACCTGGCCTTGCTGTGCTCTGCCCTCTGCTCTCAGTTCCCCTCTTGCGGCAAATGTGTCGAGTGCTGAGTAAGCTGTGGACGTTGGGCGAGTCCTCCGCTTGTCCTCTGAGCAGAGTTGAGTGTAGACACTGTCCACCATGGCAAAGATGGGGAGAAGAGTGTGCTCTGCCGAAATAATGGCCTGCCCTTCTTACCTTGCTGAAGGTCACAAGGGCCACCACAGTTGGGGCAGGAGAGATACTGTATTCCCCATATTCCCCTCTTTCTTTCTTCCTGGGCACTCCTTGGCCAGGGCACCAGGGACAGAGCAAAGCAGTCCTTGGGCCACTGAGTCAGCAGACCAGGTATGCCTTCCTGAGACAGCATTGGTGATGGCAGCTTGCTAAGCTAACTTGCCAGTTTATAGACCCCATAAAGTCATTGAAGTGCTAAGGAGGAAGAAAGGAGAAGAATGATGGATAGGAGGAGATGTCATAGATGCCCTTGGAAGGCGAGCTGGCTGCCCTGTAGAGCTCATGGGAGGCGTGGCCATGGGAAGGCTCCTGTCTTTGTAGATCAAGAAATTATCTTTGTTCCAAAAGGCACTGAGTCTGGGGACTTGTTCCAGTAAAATAAACTCAAGAGCGTCATGTGAAACTAGGTGTCAATTTGTCTATTCCTGCTGAGAAACACAGTGACCGAGGTGCTCTGTGTGACTCGGGCGCATGGGTCAGAGCTGCCCCATCCCTGCCCGTGGTCATGGGAGGGGCCACCACCTTTGTGTGGAGACACACGTGGTCACCACGGCTTCTCAAGTGAAAAACTGGGATTGCTGACTTGACTGGGTGTGTTCTGATTTATAATTCTCTGTCAAATTAAATCATATTTAGCTACATTCCTGTTAAGTCAGTGTACTTGACATTGGGTGCGCTGATGTGCATTTAGGACAGTGCCCCACATCTGGGGTATGTGGTATACTAGTGGTTCTCCTATTTCTAGTGGGAACCTGGGGCAAATTACCTACCTCGGGAAACTATAAATTAAACTGATGATCGACTAACTGGGCATTTATTGTATTCATTTATCTGTTCATTCATTGCACAAATATTTATTGTGCAGCCACTATGTGCCAGAGAAACAACAGCTACGACAAATCTTTTGTTTCCAAGCTGGAAATGATAAAGTAGCTTATGATTTGACTTCTAAGGAAGGCTTCTATTTCAGCTTCGAAAGGCTGCACGACTTGTTGGTAACCTGAGAGTTGCCCATGCCAAACATGGCAAATGACGGGGGTTACCTGTTTGCCGAGCGAAGACCTTCGTCCTACCGAGCCCGCTGGATGTCCCTGGGGTTGGCAGGGCCCGAGGTCACATCCTGGTCTCTCTGTTTGTTGCAGGTTCCCCCGCCTGCACAGCGCGGTGATCAGGACGTTTGTTCTCGTGCAGCACTACGCTGCCGCCATGATGGCCGTGAGCGGCCTCTCACAGATGAAGAACTACACGTCGGTGGAGACGCTGGAGATCACCCAGAACCTCATCAACTCCCCGAAGCAGTGCCCCTGTGGCCACGGGCTCATGGTCCTGCTGCGCGTGCCCTGCTCGCCGCTGGCGGCCGTGGCCTATGAGCGGCTGGCCCACGTGCGGGCGCGGCTGGCGCTGGAGCAGCACTTTGAGATCATTCTGGGCAACCCCAGCACGGGCATCACCGTCGGGAAGCACTTCGTGAAGCAGCTGAAGGTGGGCACTGTGGTCAGGGAGAGGACGGGCGAGGTGACCGAGGGGATGGCGGAGGCGGAGTGGTGACACACGCCGTCACGTTGCCGTCCATGATGGCCTCTGCACATCCCGCCACCCCTCCAGCCACCTCCCTTGCCACATCCCTACCTCCACCTTTCAGCCCAGAGGTACCAAATTATGAACGCTGCTCCCTTGATGTTTCCCCAAAACACACAACTTGCCGTTTGAAACTTCTTGACGGTAGCACACTTTTCTTTTTTCCGGCTGTGCGTTTCTTCTCCTCTGTTTAGCTAATGCCTGTCAGCCTGAAGGACTCAGTGTCTTTTCCTCTTTCAGGAGGCCGCCCCTCTCCCACACTTGGGGCCCTCCCCACCAACCTGGAGTCAGTTGGGTGTTCCCTGTCTGACATCTGGCTCTTCCCCCCAGGTGATGGAGGGCAGGAACCAGCCCCAGAGATCTCAGCCCCCCCAAACATAGCACAGTGCCGGGCCCATGGCAGCTTCTCACTAAACCTACGAGTGATGGAAAATGCAAAAGGGTTAGAAAGAACATTGAAACAATAATTGAGTAGGAGCTCTGAATGAAAGGCACAGCACCATGATTGAGAAACATAGTCAAAAGCATTAGACACAATTTAGGATATGTACCGTCTCCCAAAGATCAGTCGGTCAGTTAGGTGTTTCATGAGCAGCTAATCCACGCCGGGCAGTGTGCTGCATGGCTGGGAGTACTGTGGTGAAGCAGGTGACCTACTTATTTGCAGTAAAGAGAACTTTTACCGAAGGTTGCAGTGTAAGGGCTTTAAATTAGTAGGAGGCCATGATGGTCCCCCTAGAGCTGGGCTAGTTAGGAAGTCAGGGGCCTTAGGTTTTATGTCTTCTTAATTATCTGCAGATGTGGCAGAAAATTGAGGATGCAGAGTGGAGACCTCAGACTTACCTGGAGTTGGAGGGCCTGCCTTGCATCCTAATCTTCAGTGGGATGGACCCGCACGGGGAATCTTTACCAAGGTGAGTGGAAGGGGCTATGCCCTTGGGGTCTCTGAGGAGCCTGGGCTCATGGTGGGGGGGCCTGGGTCCCAGGCCGGCCTTCCACTGCCCGCCTCTAGGGGGCGCATTCACAATCTTGGTCTTCATAGTTTTGTATCTTTATTATGAGGGTTTTCCAGCTGATGGTGGTGAAATGTGTCTGAGACCTGGGCCACTTTTCCTAATTCTCTGACAGGTAACATTTGGGCACGTGGAGATGTGGTGAGGGCTGTTCCCAGGCTCTGTTGAGGGAGGCCCTTCCTGCCCTGGAGATACTTGTATGTTTGATGCCTCCCTCGCTTTCTCCCCCTGGAGGGGGTCACTGTGTATGTTAGGGATGGCTGGCGTTCCATTAAGGAAAGTATCAGAACATCTTGGGGGTTCGGGGCTACATTTCCCACTGGTGTCTAGGCTGATGTGATAGCTGTCCCTCCTGGTAGACGAGGTGTTCTGGGAAGGGGGCAGGTGGCTGATGCCACTCGAGAAAAGCCAGCTCTCCCAGCACACAGGGCTGACTGTCCCAAAG